GTTTCAGTGTGAGCCCCTAATTATATATATATGATATGAAAATATAGAGAATTTGTGTGCCCTATTTGGGTCACCATATGAAAAATGTGGCTTTCTCTAGAGAGAGAGAGAGAGAGACAAGGGCTTCATGTGCATGAGAGGCAAGGCCTTCCTTTAGAGAGAAGAGAGCTGCCTATGGAAAGAAACTCCGCGTTGTGTCTCATGTAGATTGAGAGGCTGATTTTTTGTAGAGAAGCGGTTTCCATGAAAATTTTGGGTGGTTTCCCTTTTTAGTGAGAAAAAATCTCGGTTTCTCAAGGTTCTCATCTTGGACATTGGTTTAGCTGTGGAATGGAGATGGTCTCTTCCTGTATAGTGGTTTAGCAGTGGAATAGAGATAAGAGATCGACGGGTTTGCCGATCGGGAGACTGGGTCTAAAAGGGTTTACTCGACTAGGTTTTGTCGACTGTTAGAGAGTTCTTTGTTTCAAAATTTGTAATGTAACTTTCATTTGTTTAGTTGATTTGAGTTTGTCATGCCCGTGGATATAGCCTTCTTGAGGTGAACCACATAAATCTTTGTGTTTTTATGGTGTGTGTGTGTTTCATGCTTTATTTCTTGTATTATGGCTCGTGCTCTTTCTTATTTTGTTTCTAGCTGGATAAATACACGATCTTGGTATGATCCAACTTTTGGGATTCTTGTTTCCGCATCTAAGAGGGTTCTTAAATCCTAACAATGTGCTCAATGGAACACATAATATATGAGAACTATGTCAAAATGCATACATTAATATTGGGTTATCGGAATTGGAAATTCTTTGCTTTGAGAAGTTAGAAGAGTTATTTCTTTTTCCAAATAAAAAAATGGTCCTTTCCCAACAATTCACAAGTTAAAAGAGTTATTTCTTTTTTCAAATAAAAAAATGGTCATTTCCCAATAATTGCATATTTTTTTTATATATATACGTGAAAATACTCCCCAAAAAGTATTTTCACGCACAATAAACATGCCCATAATAAGTGTATTAAATTATTAAAAGGACATGTTTTCTATGAGTCATGGACTCACATGTAGAAATGCAAGCCCCTTAATAATTTATTTTTGAAATAGAATTTGATCCTAATTTTTTGGGAATATATAATCTTTTAACATGGAGATTATTACTCTGTAAAAATAAATAAATTTTAAAAACTAGAAATATTATTTTTTGGAGAAAATATTTGAACAGTTGATTTTACTTTTTTCTTTGGAGGACTATTATTTATGGGACCCAGTTTTGGTGGACGGTGTAGATCTCTGAGCCCTTCTAGTAACAGGTGCGGGCTTGGGAGCACCAAACAATTTTTCTTTTTAAAAGGGCGAGGTTTGTGTAATTTGTCCTCCTTATACTATAGAAGTAAAACGCAAATTCTAAAATTTGCTTGGAGATATAGTTTTGGTGTTGGAAACCTTATGATAGCTTGAAAATATATTTTTATCCCTATTTATGAAATTTAATGTTTCAAAAGAGATATGGATCAATCAGATATATAAATACTTAAAAATATTGAAAATGAATGCTCTATATAACTTGTTACAAGATGCACTATTTTTAACTGTCCCCACTCATTAAAGGTTAAAAATCTAGAAGAAGTACAAATTCAAGATATTATAAAAAAATTCTTAAAGAGGTGCCTAAACTGATGAATTTTAAGTAGTAAACACTTTAGTCATAGAATTGTTGATTCAACCACCTCATTTAGCTTTTTAGGTTGTTTAAATATTTTATTTACAATGATGGAAACATCCGTCGTTTGTTAAGGGTTCCTCATACTTAGAACTAGTGTTGTTAGGATTAGATTGACCATCAGAGAGACAAGGGATTTGGTCTATCAAAACGGGCCGAACCGCTAATTGAACTAGTTGGACCAGATTTTTAAAAAAAGAAATAAAAATAGATATAATAGTTTTAAATATAAAATATGTTTAAAATTTTTTGTCGAACGTTATTTAACTAGTTGAATAGGTTAAAACCAGCTAGTTCGAGAGACCAAAACCAACAAAATATTGATTTTGACGTGTTTAACCATTCTCGGTTTTTATATTTGACCAGACTGGCCAAAGCTCTAATCGATAGTTCGACCTGTTGAATCACCAATTCGATCCGGTCTTGAAAACTATGCTGAAACCAAGAATAAGTCAGACATTTCCTAACAAAATAATTATACAGGCACCTAAGTGAAGTGATTTTAGGAATGAGCTCAAGGCTAGGTGGTCAGGGTGATGGCTTGTTAAGCATGACGCATTGAGTTCCATTCATACCACGGGTACGAGATCCATCCTCATTGAATTACCTCAAAAAAAAAAAAAAATTTTGATTTTTAAAAAGTAACCGTATTATTGGTAAATTAGTTGATTTACAACCCTAATTGATTTTTACGTGGACAATCCATTTTATTATCTTTTTCCAAAAATTGTTGTTATCTGTGATTGAATTTTATGAGCTGTACTATTTTTATGCATTCATTACGTGGAGCTCGACAAAGCTATCATCTACCGTAAAAAAAGCATGTTTTCACCACCCACAATTTACTTCGGACCCGGTTGCTATGCGGCCAAGCCTGCATGTGTAGAAATGCAGGCCTCTAAATAAATCTGTATTTGAGATGGAATTTATTACTTAATTTTTAAGGACATGTAATCTCTAACATGGAGATCATGAATATGAAAAATAAAAAAATTTTTAAAATTAAAAATAATAATTCTAGTAAGAAAACATTTGGACCGCTAGTTTCCATTGTTTTTTTGATGGAACACTATCTGGACTGCATATGTAGAAATGTGGTCCAGCCCGCTTGAAACAATTTTCCATTTTACTTTACCTTTTTGTTTTTTAAAATCATGTGCATAGTTAGATCTCTTTTAACTTTTGCTTATAATTGGATCTCGTTCTACTTTACATGAATTATGAAACTATTCGTATGTAGAGCTTATTTAAGAATCAATGGTTTTTTTTTTTGTTTGGATAATTCAGCGGGGAAGACTGGCCCTATCCATTTTTTCAAGTAGATTACATATTTAATAATCAATGATTTGTAGTACATAGTGCTCAGCATTATGTGTTGATTTTAAAAGTTTGGAATTCAAAAAAAATTACATGGTTTCCAAAATTTCAAAATAAGTAAAGCATCACCACAAAACTCATAAAAAATTGTAATCCTGATGTCATAAAATTTTTAAATCAATAATCTCAGTCTTGAATATTATAGTTATGAATAAAAAAGAATATTGTAACACATTATCTAAACCATCTACTTCACCCTAAAAATAAGTGTTCATGGATCAACAAGATCCATGCCATTTTGTGAGCTTCAAATTTTAGAGTTGGTGTTGGAAATTGATTTTAGAGCCATCATGAAGATTCTTTCTTTTTTAGTTTTGTTTGCTAAATCTTTTCTCGCTCCCATTGAAACTAATATGCTAAATTTTTTTTTTTGGGTGATTTAGTAGGGAGAGAGTTCCTACTTTTGATAGGAATTGAGCATAGGACGTAGCTTTGAAATCGTCAAGCGCCCAATCTTTTCCTACTTCTCATTGTAACTATACATGGGGCTTTCCTTTTTTGTTTTGTTTGCTAAATATTTTCTTACTCTTATTGAAACTAATATGCTAAATCTTTTCCTACTACTCATTGTGACTATATATGGGAGTTATGTCTTAGATGTGGCAAGTGAATTATAAAAGGAAAATCGTTTCATGCGGGCTGGACTGCATTTCTGCACTATATGGTCCCAGTGTATAAAGCATCCATCTTAAAGATAAATGCAAATAGGTGGTTCATTTAAAAACAATTGAAATTACCGGTTTAAATGTTTTCTTCATAAAATTATTATTTTGTTTTTTAAAATTTATTTATTTATTTATATTTATGATCTCCATATTAAAAATTACATGTCTTTAAAATTTTGGTCTGAAAATCCATCTCAAAAATAGATTTTTAAGAGTTTTTACATGGACTCATAGCAACCATCTCCATTATTAAATGCACCTTAGGTTTTTAGCGGTCGTGCTTGTCTATTTAGCAAAAAAAAACATAAAATAAAATAAAATTGCGCTCCTCTAGAATTTGCACCCATATTTAGATGTACACATAGCAACAAAAAGACAAAAAAGAAAAACGTGCGGTTTGCTTAAGGTGTGCAACCTTAAATAATCAAAGTAGGCGCACTTCCAAATTTTGTAATAATATTCAATTTTGATGTAAAAAATTTTTAAAATGGCATGAGAATCACTAATTATAAAATTTTAAATTTCATAAATGATTCTAATTGAGCAAATCCATAAATACATGAAAATCTTAAAAATGGATGGTCCATGTGATATGTTGCACGATGTATTCCTTTTGGGACTTCAAATCTTTATTTTTACCATAAGTATACTTTTCGATGTTGATACGAGTAATTAGATGTTTTTCAAACATCAAACAACCTTTTTCAAAAGATTTATGAAGTGTACTTTAAGCATGCATTAATGTGACAACCTTTTTTCTTAAAAAAAAAAAAAAAAGGTTGTCTAAAATAGCAACAAGAAAGGAAGCTTTCCCATCTCTTGGCCAGGGGTAGCAACAGGTCGTCGGATCCAACAGACCCAAAAATATAGTGTGAGACCTAGGCCCGAACTTGATTGGACTCAAACCAAAAATTAAAATTTATTTATATATAACTATATTTAAATATATTTTATATATTAGGACCTGAACAATACTATCATACCTAACCAGACCTAGACTAGAATAGCATTCGGTCGGGTCCAAGATTTGGACCCAAACCTGACTCGTTAGGTCCAACATTAAAACCTATACCCAAACCTAGCTCGGATCTATCCCTCGGGCCCAAGGTCTTGGTTCAGATCCAGATCCAGGTCCGGGTCCGGGTCCGGGTCCGGGTCCATTGCCATCCCTCTTGACCGTTAGCAATTGGCCGTGGGAGCCGCCTAATTCATCACAAACGTGGGAATTCAAACTTGGCTGCAACATAAACGCAACCCAATGGATGTCAAAAAAATCTCCTGTGTACAGAAGTCAAATCTCTGTCTCTCGTGAAAGCGAAATGGCCTCCAAACCTCGCCGTAAGCACGCTTGTGGTCTTCCTTTAAGCAATGCATTCATCAGCATCTAATTAAACCCTAATTCTCTCTCTCTCCCTCTCTCTCCTGCAAGAAACTTCTCCAATGGCAACCCTATCCGTTCCATCAGCCTGCAATTTCTCCCCTATATGCCACTCTAAAAAGGTTCGGAGAGCGAAAGAGAGAAAGAGATTGAGGGTGAGAGAATTACACCATGGAATTGTTGCTAAAAGGTTTTCTTTCCTTGTTGTATCAGTGGGGAAAGAGACGAAATGGGATCAGGATTTCTGCTTGTCATGCTGCTGTTGTTTTCCGTGACCTCCAAGCTGATGATTTCAGGCATCCTCTCGATAGACAGGTACTTATCATCTCTCTCTCTCTCTCTCTCTCGCTCTCATTTTCTGATTGCATAATTTCTGCAATTGTGAATCAATTTGTTTGGTTTCAGTCATTTTTGTTCTGGTCAATAAAATTGCTATAATTGTGTCTTCTCCATCAGTTTGTGGCTGATTATCTTATGTGTGATAATTGAATGTAACCGTCTTGTTCTTAATGGATTATAATTCTCAACGATATGACATGTTAGTTTAAAATTAATTAATGAACCATATTAAATAGTGGAAGCGACCAAGATCTCTATCTAAATTAATTGTTCATACTTGTTTTACCTTACCGTTTAGTGTTTACAGAAGAAGTGAGGGGTTTTGATATTTGTAGATACTGTTCCTAGACTCGGCCCAGTTTCCTTGGCCTTGGCCTATTGGCAAGGTCGAGTACCCCCGAGTCCATAGTTCACCCTACCTTACGAATATAGAGTAAACATTACTCGGGCAAGTACTGATAGACTCAGTTGAAATCATTGCTAAGTATGGCATTTTCCGTGATAGACTTTGCAAATCTTATAAGGAAAAGTTACATGATTTTGACAGCAAGCTTCTTTCCCATTGGAGACTTAGTCATGAAAGTTGTTGGATTTTGACAGCAATATAATTGGTATGGTTCGATTTGTGTTTATAAAAACCCAAATTGATTGTGTTTTGATTACTAAAAATCATCCATTTTTAGGGTTCTTGAATGATGAAATTTTTTTTGCTGAACTTCTTTTTTTTCTCTGATTTATCCACGAAATCGCGTGATAGTTGGTTATTTTTGAAGCCAATGCAATCAAATTCAAAAGCGCTTTAGTGATTCTTGTTTTTTTGGCTCAAATATCCACCGATTGAGTCCATCACAGAGATATATCAACAAACTATGCAAAATCCACAAAATCTGTTGTTTCTCTCTCATTGCTCATCCATGTTTTCTGATTCTTGGTTTGTTTCAAGCCAATGCAATTGACTTCCATGCCTTTACTGGTTTGCATTTTTTTGGCTCAAATATCCGCTAATTGAGTGCATCGCAGAGGTATATCAATAAACTGTGCAAAATCCACTAAATTTGTTCTCTCTTTCATTGCCCAACTATTTTTCGTGATTTGGTTTGTTTTGAAGCTACTACAATCAACTTCAAATGCCCTTTACTGATTCTCGTTTTTTGCTCAAATGTGCACCACTGAGAGAAAGGCCTTCTAAAATTTTCTAATTTTTTGACTATGCATTTTCAGATTGTCAAAATTTGAAATTTTTTAATTTTTTGAATTTGAAAATACAAAAATGGTCATAGAAAAAAAAATTCCCATGAGAATTTTTGAATCATTAATCAAATGTTAGATTTTAAAAATTCAAAAATTTACAGAAAGAAAAATTTGTTAAGGACTATTTTCGGATTCTCAAAATCCAAAAATAAGAAAAAGTTCAAGGACTTTGAAAATCATGAAATGCTCATGGCCGTACTCTCGGCAAAAAATTGCGAAAAGTAGGGTAAAAATCAAATTTTGGATTTTGAAGAATCCGTAAATTGCAAATAAATTTCAAAATTTGAGAATGTAAAGAGTGGCTATTTTGAAAAAAAAACAAAATAAAAAGTGAATGGGTGAATTGTGCATAATTTATTCCTAGCATAATTTGTAGGTGTCCATAATTTGTAGGTGTAAATAATTTTTCGAAGCAATAGTGTAAATATTTACTAAATCGGTAGTATATATTAATTTCCAAGTAATATAGACCTATATGGAAAGACAATAAAAATTTCAAAGTAATTCTCAAGTAAGATTACTAAATGTAAAATATATTGGAAAGAAGTCTTGAATTTTCGAGTAATATAAACCTAAATTTCTAACTCTAAGTAATATAGACTTTGTTTTGACAATAATTAAAACATATATTTCATCATATATTTTACTTGAAATAATTTTTTGCCTTTACACTAATAGGCCTAAGAGATGACGAGGGAGGACCGATTTTGATAGTATGGGGATAAGCTTGATGATAAAGGGAAGGGGTAGGTCCGATGTAATTTATGTGAAAGGGAGATGACAGGCGGGGCATTAATCGCCTGAAAAATCACCTTGCTAAAATTCGAGGTGATGTGAAGCCATGTGACAAGGTGCCTGTGGCTCTTAAGGAGGATTCAAAAGGCAATAGAGATTGCCAAAGAGAAGAAGGCACAAAGAGAGTGGATCATTGAGGATGTAAGGAGGGGATTTTATTAGCCCACTTCACAGGACGAGGAGAAGGAGTTTGAGGCTCAGATAGAGGCATGCCAAGTAGGCTAGTTTAGTAGTGTATCATGATAGGCAGATGCAAATTGACGAGATGCTTTCTAAACGGGCAAGAAGTTCTACTACTCACACTCCAGAGCCTATAATGCCCCTTGAGCCTCTAGTGTTGAGGTGGTCCCTCTCATCCCGGCCTATTGCCATTGGCCGACCATCTACTACCTATTGACCTCGTCTCGAATATCGACCCTAGCACTTGACCCCCGCCTTAACACGAGACCTCTATACCTGACCCCCATGAATCCCAATATCATCAGAAGAAACTTAATCTCTCATGGGGGTAAAAGACAGAAGCTATGAGAAAGGAAATTGTGAGATTCTTTTATCATACTGCCACCCAATTTCTAGCAGCTAAGTCCCCCTATCATTGACCCATGATGACTGTTATAGCTGAGGCCGGGCTAGGAGCCAAGCCCCTAAAGCAGAGGTGCTTGCAGGAAAGCTCCTTGATGATGAGGTTACCCTAATACAATTACACATCGAATAATTAAAAAGGTCATGGGACTAGAGATGCATACAGTGAATTTTTTGATATATTGCCCTAAGGGATTTTTTTCCACTCTAGTGTAGATCTTTCCAATAAGAGGACATGTAGATTATTGTTCAAGGAGCTTGATAAGGTTATATAAGATATTGGGGAAGATAAAGTGGTGTACTTAGTCACAGATAATCACAAAAACTATATAAAGGTAGGGGAACTCCTGATGGTGGGCTTGAGGTTCTTCTTGGTTCTCACTATCAGAGTGGGGGCTTCGGCCAAAATCTATGACAATGAGGGAGTAGTCCCTATTCCTGATGTGCTTCTCTGCCAAGCAGGAAAATTCATTAAATTGGTCCCTAAGCTATAGCCCCCAAGACTCGTCCAACCCTAATACTCCCTCCCGGTCCAATCGTTATCGCAGCCTCCCTCACTAGTATTGCCTTGCTCCTTAGCACCTTGACTAGGTAGCTGGCTATGTTTTTTGCCGTGACACTAGCACAAACGTTGGCTGTGGCACTCACCAAATGGGCTCCGATGCCCATAGTTACGTCTCTCTATTGCATATGGTTGTTGACCACCTCGGTCCTCCTGTTTAGTGGTACTTCCCTTAGCCTGTCCCCATTGCCCCCCAACCTCTCTCTCTTGCACGTCTTCTTGCACGCCCTCCTGGATGTTCCCCAAGGCTTCCACATCATCATTTAAATCTTAAACTTGTTCTGCTAAATATTCTATGTTCACCGTCAGTGGCTGCCCCTCCTGGTGCTCCCCTTTTACTATCCATTCCTCTGTAAGGTCCTCATGGAATATGTAGTTTTGGTTGATTGGGTTGTAACTTGCGCGTTCCCTCTCTAGCATCCTCTGCCTAAGGTTGAGATTATAGTGCACATAAACCAGCTGACACAGCCTCTCTGTCTTCAACCTGTTCCTCTTTGGGGTATGAATCCATTGGAATGTGTTCCAATTTTTGTCACATCCAAAGGAGGAACAGGTTTGGCGTAGGACCCTAACTGCGATCTTCTTTAAGTGTGGGGTTTGGAGTCTTGATGGAGATCAGAGCACAAGTAGTCAAGAGTATCTTCTATGGGAGCGACATATTCTTCCTAATTTTCAATCATATTTACAGGATGAAAACCCTAGGAGGTCCTCCAAGAAGAATGAAAAGAAAAAGAAATAGTTTTGGTGCTTTTTTTAGTTTTTAAGTTTATTTTAGATTTTGTTATTTATGTATTTTATTGCTGAATCAATTAGAGTCTTTTTAGATATTTTAATTAAAGTTAGGGAGTTTAGTTTCAAGTTATATTTAAGTTAGGACCTTTTGGTCAAAAGTTAAATTGTATGGACAAATATTGTTCAAAACAATAAGTTTTTAATATAAATAAGGGTATGGATGGGCTAGAGTGTCATTCATATATTTCTCTTTAAGAAAAAAAAGACTTTGTCTTGTAAACGAAGCCTAAGGATTAAACCCTAGGTACCTTGGGTTTCTCCAAAATTGTGTGCTTCTTGCTGATTTTTCTTTGTTTCTTCAAGTTATTGTAGCAAGTATGGAAGTTACTGTAGCAAGTACGGGGTTACTGTAGCAACGCTCTTTTTGGTGCCCTAGGTCAACACCAAAGAGGGGAAGTCATGGTGGAATCTAGGGTTTGCTGATTTTGGTCAAAGTTTCTCATAAACAACCTAGATTTTGTTGATTTCAACAACTTTTGTTGATCATTTGCCTAGGGTTTGTGATTTCGTGAACCCATAGCAGCAAGAAAGGGTTGTAGAAGGGGGATTTTGGTGGACCCGCTCCGTGATCTTAGAGATGAGAGAATTGAGGAACTTGAAAGACAAGTTCAGCGGTTGACACAACAATTCGCGACCCTCAATAATGGGCAAGACGGTGATCTTTTCAACCTAAAAGGATCTCGAATACAACCCCTTTCACCATCGCGCTCCGCATGTGGAGTCGAGTGATGAGGATAGCGACTGGAGACCTAGATGTGGGGTGCGTCACTCTAAGGATGTCGGTTTGAAGGTGGATATACCTGATTTTTATGGTAAGCCTCAACCCGAGGAGTTTATAGATTGGTTAAATACAATAGAAAGGGTTTTTTATTATAAGGAGGTACCTAAAAATAGAAAGGTAAAAATTATTGCCATAGAAGTGAAATAAGGTGCTTCGGCATGGTGGGAACAACTTAGGGCTAGATGAGAGAGTACGGGAAAGCCCAAAATTACT